TGGGACTTATTTGAGAATTCATCTGTCGGTCTCTTACTTAATAACAACCATTGACCCGGTCCCCTACGAATAAAATTTTGCTCCAACTCGTCGAATCATGATATTTTTAAAATGGACGTTTTTCTTTTTAAAAGGTTCGTGTAATTTATAAAATGAAGCAGTATAAGTTTAGTAATAAATTATAATAAAATAAAAATTATCGAAGCTGGACAATATTTCAGCTCTTTTTTTTTGTCGAACGTTATTCCTGTTGCACCAAGAGTCACGATTCTTCTCTTTTTTATTTTTTATTTTTTGTCTTCTGAAAGTACGATTCAATTTCAAGCGACGACGACCCCTGGCGTCGAGTTACGGATTCTCGCGTCGCTTTACCTGTCTTTCGAGAACGCGCCAAGGGGTCAGATTTTTATTAGAATTCTTTGGACCTGTCTTTCCTTTCTGACATGTGCGCGCACCTACAATCAACGTTTCCACGGATTGTATTCGCAATGAATAAACCAGCGTATCTCTTCTTCTCACTTTGTCCTCATTAACTCGGCATAACAAATATTTGAAACAATATATTGTTAAGACAATTATATATTATACATCCATTTAACTTGTCGAATTCCATAATTATAATTTTATGATCAATATCATTTCAATTTCATTAAAATAGTTTAATATTTTTTTTTTTAAATAAATAACAAATCTCTGTAAACAATAATGGAACAATTTAAAATTGAGTGTATGAGAGAAAAAAAAAATAATCTCGTTCAATATACGAATTATTTTGACTTTATTTTTAAGAGGTCAACTACAGCTACTTTTCTTCGAAACATATTTTTTTTTTTTATCTTTCTTAATCATCCTCACCCTTCCTTTCTCGCTCTTAATCGTCGAGGCAACGGAGAGGGACGAGTCATAACGAAGTGATCGGGTCTCGACTGAAAAGAACGTTTGATGGGTGACCACAATTCGGAGCTTATGCGCCTCGTTGTCGAGCGTGTTCCGAGTAATGACGCGTTCGTTACATCATAATTGGATCACACGCTCGTCCCTATCCTCGGGCCCGCTCCAATCTTCCACTCAGACAACACTCGACTCAATATGTGACAGTAACGCCACGCGCAATTACCCTTTTAACTTCCAATATATCAGATAGCTGGTCAATTCCCTTAATCGGTGTAGGTGTCGTAGACGCGCGCGCGAGTGTGCCAACGTGAACATTGAACGATTGGCAACACGTATAGGAGACTCGAAGGTAGATGAAATGCGGATGTGCAAGCTTTGGAACGTTGTACCCTAAAACGTTGAACGTGTCTCGAATTAGAATATTGGGAGAAATAGTGGGACGGGAAACATTGTGGCAATAGCAGAAATTTTATCACCATCACGAGGGATTGTAATGGCTAGGGAATTTTGTTCGAGCGAACCGTAGAAATTTCCCCTATGCGACGCTTGCCACTTTTATTCCCTGAATTTTAAATAATTTCCTGCCTTTTTTTTTTTTTAATAATTTTCATCACAAGTTGTATAAAATTATATTCGTACAAAAATTTTTTTTCCATCTAAGAATTTTCTCTCGTTCAATATACAAATTATTTTATTTTTAAGAGGTCAACTACATTTACTTTTCTTCGAAACATATTTTTTTTTTTTTTATCTTTCTTAATCATCCTCAACCTTTCTTTCAAAAATTTGGAATTCTTAATAACTGTTCCAGAAATCTCTCATTCTTACAATTATTGTAATATAATAATTACAATAATAATACAATAATAATTACAATAATATTATATCTCTCTTGAAATTATTATACATTATGAAACGTAAAATTATGCCAAAACAAGATGAGCGAATCACGTGACAAAGAATGTTGCGAACCATGGTATAACCTAATCCATCGTATCGATTAGGAAATATAACCCAATTTCAGTTTAACTGATTTACTCTCGCAAATGGATTAACTCGGGTTGAAGAGGGGCCACGATGTTAACGCGCCGAATTGCTGCTTACTTCGTTCTTCCGCCATGTTTTTCCCCTCTCGTTCTCTTCGTTTCCACTCCATTCCTTCTCCTGCAGTCGTTCATCTTGTTTTCAGCTACTCTCCTCTCCTCTCCCCCCCTCCTCGCTTCATTTGTCCGTTACGTGCAATCAGGAATCTGGTTGTCCGTAGTGAAACGGGTGTACAGCTGTCTGAAGGTTCTTAACCTTAAGCTGTATTTATTTGTCACCGTCGGAAGAAAATTCGCCGCCCTTGTCTGTCTCCGCCTCCGCTCTCCCTCCCATCACTACACTCGCAATCTCATTAAAGCTTTATTCGCGCCGCGGGTGTTGATTAGTGCTGCGCGTTACGGAATTGCGTTTCCGATCACAATTAAACGTTCGAGCTGGAAACATGGCCCTTTGCTTTATTCAATCATGGCGACAACTGAAACGTGGTGAAAAGAGGAAGTGCCAAACTCGCTTTTCATTTAACCCGTTTAAAACATTGCGTTAAACAGTTGTGTGTCATTTTCTAGATATTGTAAACGTTATAGTAATTATTCGATATCTGGGATCTACGGTAATTATCTAAATCTACCATTTATGAATATATTACACGTTGTTGTTGTGGTAGTTAAAAGAAGAGGTTATGTTTATTGATTAGATAATAAATGAAATACGACCATAGTTGTACTAGTATCGAGTAGTGTGATAATAATGGCATTGTCGTTATTCATTATATAATCGTTCAACTTGGTTCTATAACAAACGTTATGCAGTTAACTTTCGACGAAACAATGAAGTGCAACTTGCTTCGTCAAAGTTCCCTTTTGTTATTATATCGTATCAAATGTAAGCGTATATACGTGTACAAGAATTTTCCATCAGCATTCGTAACGATGTTAACGAAACCCAGAAATATTTTGTCGCATGAAACGAATATACTCGGTTAAAAATATCATTATCAAAAAATGGGATGTTCATTATACGTTCCTCTTTCAATTCATATACGAATGTACAAAAAAATATGGATATCCAGCACGTATTCTCGTGAATTAATAATAATAATTTTCGAACGAGAAAAAGTTCGTTGACCAAGGATACGTAGCGAAATATAACTCGATAGCAGCGCCACGATCAAGTTCATTAAGCCACGCATTTTTTCACGATGAATTGCACGCGACTCGCGGAGACAAACAACGGCGACACACTCGGGAAGCGTAACAAAGAGGGGGAAGTCTTTGGGCGAGACGACGATTCAGAGATCGAATAAAGATGTCACTGGCTATCGTCCAACTTTTAAGACCCCCATTATTTCGCCATTAAAGTTCTTTCGCCGGCCCGTTTTTGCGACGAATCCGCCGATACTTTTAGTAAATTAATTTTCTACCGCCGTCTGTTCTCAACTTAATGATCTCCAAAAGAAAAAGCAATATTTATCGCTCGCTACTATTCTTTCGCTTGTTTCTTCCGTCGGGCTCGGTCGGTAAAGCACCGACATCGGGCCCTCTGCCAGTGATGTTTCGCCTTTCTTCTCCCTCTCTTCGTTTCGCTCTCTTACCTTCGCGTTGCTCGCACCCTTTCTTTCTCCCTTCTTTCGATCCCTTGCTCCGATTTCCCCCAAAAGAAATACGAGCGGACGTTTATAGGCTCGGTAAGAAGTTCCAATTATTTATGACGTTTATCGAGCGTTGTTAAATAACTAATACGTTACACGAGCTTACGTGAAACATCTTAATGATCCCTCCCTTTCGAGTCTCGGCAAGATTGATAAAAAAAAGAATATGATATATAACGGCAGAGAGCCGAACTTTATGGTTGAAAATTCCTTTGAAATTTCGTTTCATAAATTCGTCTCGTTATTTCTTTAATATATTTGTAACAAGTTTAAGCTTATCTTATGACAGATGGGTGTTATTGAAATCTTTCTTTCGCGTCTCGAGGATCGAAACTAAATTAATCATTACGATTCGTGAAAACGAAGAGAATTAAAATTATATATTCAAATATCTAAAATTTTCGCCCCGCTTCTCCCATTTTACGAAAATTATATCTGTTCGTCCTAGGTTTAAATATTCATTCGCCATTTTGTTCGATCGAAGGGGCGACCAGCGGCAGGCCGTGGCCCAATTTGCGTCGTTTTCAGGCCGCGTAATTCCGTCCCGTTGTTACAACACCTGCCCATCGTTGGAAGCTCGGTTGAATCTTAAGCGGAAAATTCAATATTGGCGCTTCGGGGTGGTATTGTTAAGTTCGTGCAGCCGCTTAGCTCGATTTTCATCCGACCATTGCCTTGGCATTATTCCTCCGTCGAATTTTCTCCGCTCGGAATATCAGAATATTTCAATGCTTCTTGTGTGATACAAGAAAATTTCGATAATTTCAAATGCGTTGATAATCGAATGATAATCTCTTCTTAAATATATGTTTATTAAATTTTTTGTAAAAAAATAATTGCAATTAAAAATTGAAATTGTAAAAATACTTACTTAGTATGATCCCATACCCGTTGAAAATTTAACCGGAAAATTAATTTCCGTCGATTTATAATCTTCGAACAAACGTAATAAATCGTCCAACCGATGACTACTTTTATAAATCTCTCTTATATCCATCTTATCCATCATCCTGAATTCTGAGAACATACGACATTTCGAAACGTTATAGTTGAATGAAACCCTGGTTAAGTTACTTTGTTCATAATATCCTGTATTGAATCCCTGTTTGCCTCTTTCACAAAGAGATCCTTTCGATACCGATCAAGATAAATATCGGCCTGTGATGAGAATAAAATCCTTGACGTAGGTATGACGTCCCCGAGCTTTAACGCTTTTTCTCTCCCATGAAAGGTAGTCGAAAAAACTTGCTCATCATCGTGTCTACGCGAATGGATAATAATTTCGTCTTATTCTTGTCCATTTTTGTTGAAATGAAAAAAAAAAGAAAAATCCTCCATTGATACCAAACAACACAAATAAATAATTAATAATTCAGCAACGGTGATGAATAACGGTTGCCCGTTTTCGTTACAGGCTTCCTCCGCCGCAGCAGCAGGTGACAGTCGGCTCTCTGGGTGGTGGTTTGGGGGCAGCCGCTGGAAATGGTGGTACAGGGACGGTGGGCGCCCAAGGTCAAGCCATGGTAATGCCAGGATTTCCACTTCGCGCTGCAGCGGTGCCGCATTATTCACCGTATTCGCCGTCACGTTTTCACATCGACAAACGGTGCCAGCACAGATGCTCCTGGAAGTGTTTCTCGATTGCACTGATCCTCCTCGCTGTTGCGCTCACAGCGATGCTGGCTTACTTCGCCAGTAAGTAAACGCAATATAACTAGGTAGAATATTCAATCGACTAATAAGCTTACATGGGAACTTCGTGAATTTTAAGAAGCGTTTCTGATTCCTCCTCTCTCTCTCTCTCTCTCTTTCTCTCTTATTTCTTTCTTATCCGTTTACCTTGAAAATTGCAATTAATTTTATATTATATATTCGAAAGAAGGGATAAGAGTTAGTACGCGGTATAATATAGATAAAAGTGCATAATGTAATTCACAAAGCAGATGAAATTTTTTCGATATATCGAACACTTCGTTCATTTTTTCTTCCTTTTTTTTCACTAGTAACGCAGAATCAAATAAACTAAATGTGACGTAAACCAAAATGACACGCAT